TTTTTTTTTTTTTTTTTTTTTTTTTTTTTTATTACTAGTTTATCATCTGAAAACTAAGATCAAGCAAATTTTTGTCTAGAGCTCAAAATCCAAGCCAGACGTAACAGGATTTTCCGAGGACAGGACAGCTGAAGCATTCCACTCGGCACGGACAGCGGGATCCGTCTGAACCGCAGGGACGGCAGGACCAGCTGTCCCTGTGCTTTCCTGCCTGTTTTATTCCAGTGACACTAACCGACCAAGCCCCACTGCAACTGTGTTGATTTTCCCCACTAAGGTCCCTATGTTCAAATTCCAATTACAGCCTTAAAATCCAGGCTGCCCAGGGCAGCCTCCTCCACAAAAGCCTTTTACACCAACGATTCACGTCACTGAAGTCATTTCTCTTCAAGAATGCCATCTCATCCCTTTTCCCCCTCTTGCTTTGTCTTTACTGCCACAGCATTAGGACTCATGGGAAACGCCTGAGCTCCCACCATCAACACCCAACAATTCTCCAATTGCACATTAAGAAACAATTTCCTGTCCATAATCCTTTCACGCTGGAGTCAGAGGTTTTAAAATATTTTCTACTTTAGAAGAAACATGAATTCCACTTTTGCCAAATGAAAAGCAGGAGTTATTAAAAATCATAAACCACCTTTTGCATGAAAACTAGTTGTCTTCTGATAACTCCAAAACACCTTCAGAGAATCAGATCGTGGGCAAGGTAAGCTTGAGGTACTTTGGCCTTTTGCACCCTTTCCTCCCAGGTTGGTTAGGGTTTCTATACCTTCTTAAACATTACTGCCCAACTAGTCTTCAATAGGAGCAGTTATGTTGCTTGCAAAAAAAAAAAAAAAATCCCCTTCCAAATGAGGAGACCTGTGCCGCAGCCCAGGTCACCCTCCCTCCCTGACCATTTATTACCAGCTGGATGCATCCCGCACACCGGAGTTGGGCAGCACCGGCTGGGGAGGGTCCTGCAAACCTCCTGACTGCAGGCTGCCCCTCTGCACCCAGAGCTCCAGCGCACAAATCCCCAGGCGAGACCCTGGCGAACGCCGGGGAGGCTGCAGGCAGGTCCCAGCTCCGGGGCAGGTCCCAGCACCGCTCGCTCCTCCACCAGCTCTCCACACCCCAAACCATGGGGGGCGGGGAACGGACACTTCTGACGCACATTGTTCCAAGGCAGGAATTTAAACCAGGCAAGATTAAAAGGATGATTGATCGGACCGGTTCAGACACACGTCTGATGGCGCAGTAACCGGTGCCTGGCAGCACCCGTGTCCCCCGCGGCCGCCCAAGGGCTGTCCCGCCACCCAGCGCACGCACCAGCACCGAGGCAGCAGATGAATCCTGCTTCTCCCATCCGTTCCCCTCTTGTTAGTGAGCTCTGGATGTCTGGACACTCACTGCAACTGGAAGACCAAACTATTGCTGACGAAACTGAGCATCGTACCTCGGGAATAAACCCAGAGCTGGTGACGCAAAGCCAGACCCGCGCAGCTTGCCTCGGGAGCTGCCAGTGCTGCTGGTAACATCCAGCATCTGGCGAGATCCATCGTAGCAGAGAAGTTTTGATTTGTGAAATCCGCAGCAAGGATGTTGGTTCCACTAAAGCTTAAAAAAGAAAAAAAGTTTCGTGTCGCGGACGCTACAGCCTCACACCTTCTGACAAACAGAGTCAGGGGAATGTCACCCACGCAGCAGTCTCGGAACCGGGCTGGAATCACTTTGCCCCTCTAATGGGATAAAACAAGAAAAAAAATAAATTCAAATGCTTCTGAAAGTTTGTGGTTTGGTAAAAAGTGAAGCCATCGTTATTGATGTGAAAAAGACAAAAGCAGCAAGGATAATCCATCTTCTTCAGCGCTGCAAATGGCCACAGAAGAGGCAGCGTAATGCCCTTCAACAGGAAAAAGAAATTGTGGAGAAGGTAAAGAAGCAGATTTACTGAGTGCCCGAGTTAAGCGGCTGGTGAGGCATTCACCGTTTCGGCTGATGTCCCCGTGATGGTACCATCCCAAACCCACTGGTATCTTCAATAATCTGCGGCAGGGGGAACATTTACAGGGTTTGTATCTGCTGCTGGCAGGGAACAGCAGCCTCCATCCGCCCAGACTGGAAGCAAGCAGGAACCCAGCAAACCCCAAAAACCAGCACGGCTTCATGTATGTGGTGTCGTGAAAACTTACCTGTGGTTGAGGGACCAGGAATTTTCAGAAGAGGTTTCTAGAAGACAAGAATGTGGCACAGAGGCTGGACAGAGTCACTGGGCATCACCTGAAGGAGTTTTATTCTGTCCTGACCACACTCCGGAGCACCAGGACTGGAGGGAGGCAAAGGAACGTGTGCTCCACACCAGGCAAATGGAAAACTGCCAGTTCAGCCTCAAAAAAGGTCAAGTGTGATTAAATCCTACGGACTGACACCCTGCATCCTCACAGTATTTTAGACTATTTTCCCAGACACCTGTAAGAAAAAAAGGTGCCTCTATCCATTCCAGCACTAATAAATCCACTTCTGCTTCATCTCCACGCAAGTGGAGCCCGTCCAGGCAGTGCAAGGCGCACCTACCGAACAGAAACCTGGTGTACAGAAAGAACACAAGCTCCAAACCTAAATTTCTCCCTTGGAAATCCTTGTTTTCCTTACAAATATAAAAATCTCAGTTGACAGTGTGATATAGATGTTCCCCAGATTCTGGCTCACGTGTTTAATATCATAATAAAGCTGGAGAGCAACGGGGGAAAGGAACTTGGCTCTTATACAAGTATTATTTCCACATTATTTCCAGTAGAAAGCTACTTCCATAAACTAAAATCCCTGTGAAAGGTATTTACGGGGTTTGTGGTTATTAAACAAAAAGCAGAAGCAGCCCTTGGCTTTACGGCACCTCCCAAACACTGGCAGAAAATCCACCTCTTGGGCCATACAAGCCTTGCCGAGGGAATGACATTTCGCCAATGGTTTTGGTGAATTCGAGGATGCAACTGACGATAAACACTAAACTTCAACGAATTTGCACCAAACGGACCCTTCAGCTCGAGTGTCAGCTTTACACCAGAGATGCTGGCTGGCTTCTCCAGTCCATGATCAAGTTGCCTTCACCTCAAAGCACGGGCTCCGTCCTGTGCCGTTAGGGGTCTTTCAGAGCATGAATTATTTTCACATATCTGAATTTCTAAAAGTGATGAGTTTTGATCAGGGACTTTCACTTTTATATTATTTTTCCATCTTTTTAGGACTTATAAGCGGAGGGACCATAGTAGCAGTGCAGGACAGTAAGATGTGAGATAGTGTGTGTATATATATTTTTATAAAAAAAAATATATATATATATATATACACAGTCAGTAGGGAGCGCTGCCACCTTCATTTTAGATCAAAATGCACCTTGGTTTGAGTCTTACTGAAACTGGAAAAAAAAAAGAACAAAATAACTCAATGTTGTAGCATATAGTAAAATAAAATAAAAACAGATGGGAAGAACAGCCCAATCCTCCCATTTTAAAATTTTAAACAAAAATTACTCTGTGCAAGTTTTCTAGAATAACTTTTTTGAAAATTCCATTCCACAAGAAGTTTTGAAAGCCTTTATTTACATTTCTTAAAACACTAGGTTTCTCTGTAAAACCAGATTTCCAAAGCAGCTCTAAGCAATACATACAGCCTGACGGCTTTGTTGGGACTTTTTAAAATTAGTGGCACGCAATCTACGCTAAACGCTCCTTTAAGGAATAAATATCTCCCCAGTGAATGTGCGCTGGGAGTTGTCCGTCTTTGTATATTCCCTTCTGATTTATTGTACGTATTTATTTCCTTAAGGAATTTCTCATTTTGTCTCATGTGATAATAAAATTTTCTAGAAAATCTGAAAAAATGGTCTCAGTCCTCACTGCGGCCAGGTGCTCCTCACTAAATGACCCATCAGCCACCTCCCCCCCGCCACAAACTCAGCTGATCCTACTGGAGATGGAGCGGCACGAGAGCACAACGAGACACGGCACGGCACCCCGTGCTCACAGTATCCTTTGCAAACTCACAAAATACCTTATAAATTCTTTCAGGAGTGTTCAAATGCCTCTGCAGCTCTGGGGGCAGCCAGGATTCCTGTTCAGCCACCCAGCAAAACCCGTCGGTCCCCAGCCAAGCACAGAACGCGGTGCGGAGATGCCGCAGGGACTCGTTAGCCTGGGTCTCGATGAGCCTGGGCAATTCCGCACCGTGTCCCATCCCACTGCCTTTGACATGCTCCATTTCAAACCTCCTCGGTTTCCAGGGCAGAGTGGAAGCCGAACATCCCTGCGTACGATGCTCCCAAATCCATGTGAGGATTCGGCCGGTCCTGTGCCCGTGCAGCCGTCCTGGCGCCCAGCTGTGCAACGTACACTTACCTTGGTTTTATAGAAGTTATGTGTCTCACTGAAACTACACAAATGAAGTCCTCTGCAGTCAACAGCGAGAGACAAGCACTGTTACGAGCAGTAAATCTCCTATTTTAGGAGCAGACGTATCGTCTTCTGAATTCTCTTAC